AAACGAGTAGAAGGTTTGAAAACGTATGAAAGCGTGGATTGGGAGTCAGTTCAAAGCATTATTTAATGCAGACATTATCGGACGATTCAAAAACACATTCCATCGACAGAGGAAAAAAACTCCCAATCACTTCCATCTGGAAAAGACTTGCCACAAAGCAGACGATATTTCAAAGAATATATCAACTACAAAACTTAAATGCATAGGACCAAGGGGAATGATGTGGTCATCGTTTTCAAAAGGAATGGTTTTCGCTGTCCACACTGACCGGGATGCCGTATCGTTTTCAAAACGAATCACTTTCAACGGCGTTTTCAAAAGGATCCGTTTTCGATGAAAACGCTCAGCGTTTTCGAGAGTATTTCAGTGTGAACAGAAGGGCAAAACGCATACTTTTGGATTCGTTTTCAAACAAAAACGCTCTAGTGTGGACGGGGCCTCAGCCGAAGAGTCGATTTTACTATTCGCCACCACTTATGAAATAGCATAGACTGTATTGTAAATGTGCATAAAATGTATTTTAAATGTGTAGGAATGAAAAAACAATGACTTAAATAAGAAACATTCAATGCGGTCGTGTTTTAGATTGGCAGTCATGAAGTAACTTTGAATATCCATTCGCAATTTGTTTCCATAGATTGCTTTCAAGGTGTAATCTTACAGTATCTTCATTAATATCTCATAGAGGCATAAGAAAAAGTATGTTTTCATTCACATTACGATGTATTTTAAGTTGCAAACGTGAGCAATAGCTCCAAAGGCATGCTGTTGGACTACGGGAAGTTTAAGTCGAAGAGAGTACTTAGTCATGCGAGTCGAGAAGGACAAGGTATTAGTAAACTAGAAAAATAATGTTCGATGGGAAGTTTTTAGCATATACATGTAGTATGGTTATGTTTGTTTGATGAACTGTACATTTACCTGTTGGCAAAGCTGTGGCCATCCATATTATGATGGGCTCCCGCCATCTGCTGTTAAACTTACATTCAGCATGACCCAGGCAGAATGCGATCATAGTAAGGAGAGCTAATAAGACTGTGGATGGGCTCTGTTTAAAAAGTTTTCCGTAATATCCACAAATCTGGAAAAGAATTGAAATAAGAACTTGTTAGTAGAGGTTAGAAGTAATTCCTTTAAAAGCGATGAGCAATGTTTAAGCTCAGAAAAATGATGCGCTTCGCGGTTACCCGACTATAGTAATGTGTCCGGCGTTTTTTTAGAGATCTTTTGCTTGTACGCGAAATAAACTGGCTTGTCACATCCGCAATAATATAATAAAGGGAATTTTACGGGTGTACTGTATACGTTCCTACGTTATCTGGGCGTAGAAAGAAAGAAGGGTAATGAATGACATGACAGTCATATGCCGAACTAAGCGCGTATGAACTAAAGATTAATGTTTGATAAGTTTCAATGGTATTTACCTTCTTTAACTCGGCTGGGACTAAAGACCAGTTATAGTCAAGTTGTCTTGATTCCTCAAAAGGCGGAGGTTCATTCATTTTGTAAAATTATAAGCAGAAGAGATGACGAAGACGTTGAGTATACACTAATGTGTGAGCAGTTTGAAGGTGCGCAGTTTGCCGCGCGTAAATTTAAGGAAAGAAGTCATTGCACGTGATTGGGTGTTGATGTGCGAGGTAATCTCTTGGGGTTTATTAGGGTAATAACCAATTACAGCCTTTATATAAGGTTGTGGGAAGTTTTTGTTTGTATGACAAAAATTGTAAGAAGTATTCATATCCGAGTCACATCCGACTAATAATCCATTCAAAAGTGAAAGACAAATATAGGTGATACTGTATTGTCTTTTTTGTGTGAAGTATTGTTGCTTTAATAGTAGTGATTATGGTGATAATGTGTATAAATTGTGCATTATCTAAACTTGGTTAAAACAGCTGTATTGGAATCTGGACTGAGTAAGCAAAATTTGAAGCAATGGAAAGGCAAGAACTTATGAATTACATGAATGATATGTCCCGCTTAAACAAGAACAGATTCTTGGAGTTAAGACGCCAATTACTGGAATTATTTGATGGGGAATTGTTTTACCCTCGACTGCGACTGTGGCCAAGAGAATTCAGAAGAATGTTTTGGAAGAAACCTCTCTCAGATAGGGAAGCGTTCAATATATTTTTGTTCCTGAGTGGCAATGGTTGTCCTCCTACAATTATTCAGCAGTGGATATTGAGTTCAACTTACGTGTCAGCCGTAGAAGTTCAAAGAAGAAGGTGGAGTCAGATGAACTATCTTAAGGAATGTATTGAATCTGGAGTAAAGGACAATGTTTGGTTCTACTACGATATAGACAGAAAACTTTGCGTATATATGAATGGAACAATGATAAGTATTCGCAATGACTGAACTTGTTTAAACGGACTCTAGTATATTAGTCAATAAATTTATTTATGTACACAGTGACTTCATCTTGAGCTCATTTGTGATAAAACTTCCTTTATGGTTGTCTCTATATTGTCTCTCATTGAAAATGCAATGAAAATACGGTATATGGGATGTTTGGCCGATGTTATGAAACAATATTTGAATGCCAATGCATTGCAATATCCATTTTGAGAGTAAACTAGAATACATAGGCTGTTCTTACTGTTTGAAGTACTCAATTTATATTCATTTCGAAGCGCATTGTTTGATGCCGTTAAAAGCGCAATGAAATCAAACACCGATCAATGTTTCATTGTGTTTTAAGAACAAGGCAACACACAATTATTTGTAGGTAGATATAATGTTTGATAGTAACAACGAAGGCAAGCTTGCTAGACGAAACTAAAACAGCGGCGTTTCTTGGCGTAACGAATACTATAAGAAAGAGTAAATCCTGCCTCTGGAAATGAGTATATGATATATTCGATTAATTAAATCATTAAAGAAGGAGACTAGGGTCCGGGTCATTGTATTTTAAGAACGAGGCAACACATTTATTTGTTCGTAAATATAGTGTCGTATTTTCAACCAGCAAGTTTTGTGCGATGAAACGGCTCTAAAAATTTCAGTCGGCGTTTCTTGGCGTATAAAACAATAATATGAGAAAGAATACATCCTGTCCTTGGAAATCAGAATGATAAACTTCATGAAGTAATAAAACAGCAGTATTTGCAGTATTTGAAGGATACGTAATATCGGATTTGCACTAAACAAAAGCAAGTTTTGCCTCAACGAAACTGTAATACCTCTGCCGATCAGTATGATATGGCGGTTTGATTCAGTTAGACAGCTGGGACGGCTGGGACACTTGGGACGGCTGGGACACTTGGGACGGCTGGGACACTTGGGACGGCTGGAACACTTGGGACGGCTGGGACACTTGGGACGGCTGGGACACTTGGGACAGTAAAGAGTGTAATTGACCTAACAAAGTTGAGTAAATATTGCAGTGGCATCGCAAAAGAGTTTCAATAATAGTCAATTGATTTGCAGTACATCTTTTTTACGAGTCAAATTCGAGCCCAAGTCAAATCCGAGTCCGAGTCAAATTTCCGAGTCAATATCTTTGGTCAGCGGCATTCCGTATGAAGTCTTGTTCCACGAGGTCAACATGGCGGATGGTAAGTTGGTTTCATGTTTTATTCAAATCCATTCCATCTACGTCGAAATGATACATTTACATAACAATCAATCGAAAAAATGGTACTTTGCCATGAATACTTCATTTTCATGAGAGTAGTTTTGATATAATCGTTCTTTTTTACAGATGATGTGATCGAAATAAAGTCCTCGCCACAAAAGGCAGAGGAGGTACGTTGTGTTAGCATTTTTTCTTCTTTTTTGTCTTCGCTTAAATAATAATAACTCCAATAATTTTATATATAATTTTTTCAGCTAATTGATTTGATTTCACTGTCATCTGAAAGGTATGCTATTTGCATTTTAGGGATATTGATGTTTTCATTAAGCTATTTGAATAGCTACTTTAAGCTTCAAATTGAAAATTAAAATTTTTTTGATACTAGACTATTTCTTATTGTTCTTATATAGTGATAGCGATAGTGAGCTGCCTCCGGCTTTCCTTCCAAAAAAGGTAAAACAATGTAAAATGTTTTTGCTGTACTATTTAGGAGTGGAGTTTTGTGTTTTATTTCACATAATTCCTACAATAGTTATTTTTTATGATAAGGGCAAAAATATCTATTAATAGCTACTGACATTTATAGATGTATAAACTAAAGTGAGTGTGATGTCCATAAAGTGTAAACATATTTTATTTGTAGAGATGTCCAAATGCCTATGTTACACTAGTATTGCAGCTATTTTGTTGCTAACTTGTTGCTAAATTCATTTTTTAAGGAATTATTGTTCGATGATTCTCCAGTCAAAGACAAAAAACAGGCGAAAAGCGAAAAATGGGAAACCAAGTTATTCAGTCAAAAAACCTGTTTCAAACAGCTCCAAGGTTAGTTCAGATAGTTTGTGATAATAAAATTGAATTGAATAGTGACTAGATAAATTTTAATATTATAAATTTAATTTATATTTTCAAGTTTTGAGTTGCACTAACACATTTTTTGAGAAATCTGCAGGTCATAAACAAACTGGTGTTTTTATTTTAATGTATTTAGAATTTGCCCTATGAGATCCTGAAAGGAATTTGTAGTGCATCTATGAAATTGTCCCTTATCAGTAAATAGCTCTGCAAGTAGATCATAAAAGGGAAGATATTTACATGACATATCCATTTTGAGCTTGTGACAAGTTTCAAAAGGGTTCAATATTATTAATGA